AAAAAAGAGTTGTAGCAGACAATGGATGATGCGTAATTGTAAACAGGAGTCCTGGTGTGCTAATAAGCACTGGACTGCTAATCACCAGGTTAATGGATCAAACTCACTAACCACTCTCAAAAACCCTATACAGGGTCACTATGCTTCAGAACCAACTCGACAGCACCTAACAATGACAACAGTTGTAAATATTCCCAACATTTCCTGTGGGTCTTCTTCAGGGTAGGTCTGAGTGGACTTGCTAGGCAATCAATATATATTTCACAGCCAATATAGCTCATTATTTCTTTTCTCAGTAAATGTTTACTGATTACTTTCTGGGGGCCAGGTACTGTTATAGGTGTTTGGGATTTATCAGTGAACTAAACAGATAAAATTCCCTGTTATGTGGAACTTATATTTTAACAGTGGTGCAGGACAGAGCATAGATAATAAAATGAATGAATGAAGTAGAGTAGGAAAGAGTAATAGAGAGGCTATCATATTAACATTGTGACTGTGAGTATTGTCATGACCAAGAGTTGCTTCTTAGGGGTCTACTGACATCCTCTTCATATGGAATGACATGAATGAGCCCTCTGTCTTTAGAGGGCCAGAACTAACCATGCAGAAGAATGCTATCCATCATGGTAATTGGGAGCACAGAGAACTTCACAACATCTATGGTTTTTACCAGGTAAGTCATTCAAAATGAAGTTAACTGGTCCCATGTGTCCTGCCTTTGGGGCTGATAGTCATTTGCTTTGTAATAGCCAGACTATATTATATTGCTCATTTCTCTTTGCATGTCTTTTTCAGTAATTGCATTGAATGTTACCAAACTGTCACCGAGAAGAAACTTATTCTCTTTATTACTAATGCTTCATTCTCTTCCATACTGAACTTCATAAATTTACAAAGGTTGTGTGACTAATAATAACACCTAGAAACGTTATTCATGATAAAGTATTTTGCTGTAAGGTGCCATTGACTTGGTTCTGACTCATAGGGACCCCATGTACAGCACAATGAAACACTGTCCAGTCCAAAGCCGTCCTCACAGTCATTGCTATTTTTTAGTCCATGTGTTAGCTTCTGTGTCCATCTCATTGAAGGACTTCCTCTTTTTCACTGACCCTCTACTTTACCAAGCATGATGTCCCTTTCCAGGGACTGGCTTCTCCTGATAACATGTCTAAAGTCCATGAGGTTATTCCCAGGACAACCAGTAAGAAAACAATAACAAAATTATATATATATATAAATAAACAATTTGTGTAGAAATTGTTAAATGGGAACCTAATCTGCTCTGTTTACCAAAAAACAATAAAATGTTGTTTTTAAAAAACGAAAATGAAAACACAAGCCACCGAATGTAGAATGTACATTACCTCGGAAGGGATTTGTGTTGTTAGGTGCTGTCAAGTAGGTACCAGCTCATAGCGACCCTATGCACAAAGGAACAAAACCCTGCTCAGTTGCGCTTACCCTCACAGTTGTTATGTTCCAGCCCACTGCTGCTGCCACTGTGTCAATCCATCTGGTTGGGGGTCTTCCTCTTTTTCTGCTGACTGTTCACTTTTCTAAGCATGATGCCCTTCTCCAGGGACTGGTCCCTCCTGATAGAGACCTGCAGCTGTTGATGAAGATGTGGAGAACTGAGTGCCCTCATCCATTGCTGGTGGAAATGTAAAATAGTGACACCACTTTGGAAAGCAGATATGCAGTTTCTTAAAAAGTTAAGCGTATAGTTACTATATGACCCATCAATTTCATTCTTATTTTTAGTTCTCTTGGTATATGCTAAATTGGTATATTTCATTGGTGTATACACATGAATAATTATAGCTACATATTCGTAATAGCCTAATAATAGAAATAGCCTAAATGTTCCTCAGTTGATGAGTAATAAATAAAATATAGTATATACAAACAAATTCTGTCATAAAAAGGAATTCTGAAAAAAAATAAAAATAAAAAGGAATTCTGATTTCTGCTACAAGAATAATAAAACTTAAAAATATAGCAAATGAAAGAAGTCAGATACAGAAGACCACATATCATATGATTCCATTTATATGAAATGTCCAAAATAAACAATTACTTAGACAGAAAGTAGGTTAGTGGTTGCAAGGGTTTGGGAGGAAGAGGGAATGAATGGTAAATTACTACTAATGGGTGTGGGATTTCATATGAAAATGTTCTGGATTAGATAGTAGTTAATCGTGGTACAACTTTGAACTGTACAATGCTAAAAACTTAAATTTTATAGTGTATCAATTGCATTTCAATAAACCAAGGTTCTTGGTTACTCTGGGGGAAAACAACTACAACAAAGTATGTGATGTGAAGTCTTGCCATCCTCCCTTCTAAGAAGGATTCTGGTGGTACCTCTGGCAGTCCATGGTATATTAAATATTCTTGACTAACACCATTGTTCAAAGGCATCCATTCTTCTTTGTGCCTTTTTTATTCATTATACACATTTCACATACATGTGAGGCCGTTGAAAATACCATGGTTTGTGTCAGGTGCACTTTAGTAATCAAAGTGACATCTCTGCTTTTTAACGCTTTAAAAAGAGGTCTTTTGCAGTAGATTTTCACAGTGCAATACATTCTTTGATTTCTTGACTGCTGCTTTTCAGAAGCATTGATTGTGAATCCAAGTAAAATGAAATTCTTGACAACTTCAGTCTTTTTTCCGTTTATCATAATGTTGCTTATTAGTTCAAATGGGAGGATTTTTGTTTTTTTAATATTGAGGTGTAATCCAAACTGCAGGCTGTACTCAGTAAGTGCTTCAAGTCCTCTTTGCTTTCAGCAAGCAAGGTTGTTTCATAAGCATATCACCGGTTATTAATGAGTCTTTCTCCAATCCTTATGCCATTGTTTCTTTATATAGTATAGCTACTGGAATTATTTGCTTAGTATACAGATTGAATAAGCATGGTGAAAGGATACAACCCTGACGCACACTTTTCCTGATTTTAAACCATGTAGTGGAGTCCTGGTGTGGCACTGTGGGTTAATGCGCCAAACTGCAAAGTCGTTTGAAATGCAAGGTTGGTGGTTCAAGCTCACCAACTGCTCCTTGGAAACCCTATATTGGGTCGCTATGGGTCAGAATCGACTCAACAGTACTTAACAACAACAACAGTATCCCCTTGTTCTGTTAGAACAGTTGCCTCTTGGTCTATGTATATGTGCCACATGAGCACAATTAAGTGTTTTGTAATTCCCATTCTTTGTAATGTTATCCATAATTTGTTATGATTTGCACAGTTGAATGCCTTTGCATAGTCAATAAAACACAGGTAAAAACTTTCAGGCAGCCAACAAACATATGAAGAAGTGTTCTTGATCATTAGCCTCTTGTTGTTGTCATTATTAGTTGCCATCGAGTCGGTTCTGATCCATAGTGACTGTATAGGATTTCCAAGGAGTAGCTGGTAAGCTTGGACTGCCATCCTTGTGGATATGCAAATCAAAACAATGATGCGATATCATCTCACTCCAACCTTAATAGCAAAGTTCAGAAAAAACAGAAAATAACAAATGCGAGTAAGGTTGTAGAGAGACTGGGTCCCTCCTCACATGACTGGTGGGACTGTGAAATGGTTCAACAGCTGTGGAAAATGGCGTGGCACTTCCTCAAAAAGTTGGAAATAGAAACACCATGTGATCCAGCAATGCTTCTACTGGGTTGTTGATAGTAAGTGCTGTCAAGTTGATTCCAACTCAGAGCAACCCTGCATAGGGTTTCCGAGGAGTGACTGGTGAGCTTGAACCACCAACCTTGCGGTTCCAACTGACCTTGTAGTCTGGCACATTAACCCACAGCACCACACCAGGACTCCTCTACTTGGTATATATCCTAAAGAAATGAGAGTCATGATACAAATAAATATACGCACACCCATGTGCATCACAGCACTAGTCATAGTTGCAAAAGATGGAGACAACATATAGATCCATCAGTGGGAGAATAAATAGATAAACATACATACAATGGAATACTATGCAGTGTTGAAGAATAATGATGAATCTGCAAAACACCTCGTAACATGATGAACCTGGGGGGCATGATGATGAGTAAAATTAGTCAGCCACAAAATAACAAATATTGTATGAGACCACTATTGTACAAAGTCAAGAAAAGATTTTCACACTAAAAGAAACGTTCTTTGATGGTTAACAAGGGTGGGAGAGAAAGAGGAGGTAGGTCACTGGCTAGAGGTTAGCCACGTGTTAACTTGCGTAAAAGGAAAGGTAATATACAACAAGAGGAAGTTAGGCAGAAGAATGATGAAGGCAGGGGAAGAAGACACAGGAAAGAGTGCAGGAGTTAAGGGGAGCAAAAGTAATACTGTTATATAAACAACCTTGCAGTAACAATGCTCTGCTGGTAGATTCATAGGCTAAATGGGTATGGGAGGGAAAGTAGATTATATCCACAAATACATAGGAAGTTTGGCAGAGAATATTTGTATGTGGGTATTTACATATCCATGAATGTGGTGGAGCATTTGTTGTTATTGTTTGATGCACAACAGAACAAAACACTGCACAGTCCTGCATCATCCTTACAATTGTTGCCATGATTGAGCCCATTGTTTCTGCCACTGTGTCAATCCATCTTGTTGGGGATCTTCCTCTCTTTTGCTGACCTTCCACTTTATGACGTTCTCCTTCAGGGACTGGTCCTTCCTGATAACACATCCAAAGAATACGAGACTGAGTCTCACTATCCTCGCTTCTAAGGAGAATTCTGGCTTTCCTTCTTTCAAGACATATTTAGTTAATCTTCTGGCCATCCATGGTACTTTTAATATTCTTCACCAACACCATAATTCAAATGCATCAATTTTTCTAAGTTCTCCTTAGTCATTTCTCGTTTTCACATGCATGTTGTTGTTGTTGTGATGTGCCGTGGAGTCGGTTCTGACTCATAGCGACCCTGTACAAGGGTTTCCGAGGCTGTAAGTCTTTATAGGAGCAGAAAGCCTCATCTTTCTCCCGCAGAACAGCTGCTAGTTTCGAAATGCAGAGGAGGCAATTAAAAGTAGCATGGTTTGGGTCAGGTGCACCTTAGTCAGCAAACTGGTATCTTTGCTCTTTAACACTTTAAAAAGAGCTTTTGCATCAGAGTTGCTAAATGCAGTATGTCATTTGATTTCTTGACTGCTCCACCTTTAAGTGTTGATTGTGGATCCAAGCAAAATGAAGTCTTTGACAACTTCAATCTTTTCTCCGTTTATCATGGTGTCATTTATTGGTCCAGTTGTGGGGATTTTCGTTTTCTTTACATTTCTTTACATCTATACTGAAAGCTGTGGTCTTGGATCTTAATCAGCACTTTAAGTATTTTTTTTATTTCAAGCAACAGGGTTGTGTTGACTGCATATCGCATGTTGCTAACCAGTCTTCCTCCAATCCTGATGCCACCACATTCTTCATATAATTCAGCTTCTTGGATTGTTTACTTAGTATACAGGGTACAAAATTATGAACATTTCATGGAAATTACCAAAGAACTCGAGGTAATGAGTTGCTGGACCTGGGCACTCAAGACTGTAGTCTCAAGGGTCAATTGGCATAACATAATCCACAAAGACAGTGTTCTACATCCTACTCGGATGAGTAGTGACTGGGGTCTTAAAAGCTCATGAGTGTCCCCAGCCAATCTCCTCCCTCCCTGCCTTCCTCGGATGGCGGCTGTTTATGCTGGACGTGTGGCCAGAGACGGGTAAGGATCACGTGGAACCTCGGCAACTTAAGACAGAGCCATTGCCATGCTGCAATGAGTTTCAGTGACTGGTAAGACTGAGGAATTCGCACTGACCGCCTAAGACAGGCAGCGTCCCTTAAACAAACAATAAATAAGGAGGAATCTGATGCAGACCATGCAGACCCGGTCAGGAGGTCAAGCCGCTGTGGGCCCAAGCGTTGTTGACCGTCCAAACCATAGGCTCTGAGGATCAGACTTTAGCTACCTAGTAGACATAGCAAACTGTCCCTTATCTGATTATTCAGTAATGCTTGTTAGTAATCTCATACATGAGCCCTGGATATCCACAGACAAATGTAAAAACCTTCCCTAAAAGCCGAGACTATAAATTCCAAAAAGGCAAGTTCCCCCCCACCCCCAATCCAAAAAAAAAAGCTAAAGAGGATAGAGAGAAACACTGTTAACTGATGATATAGGGAGGGGATAATAATCAATGTAATGAAACAAGCTATATGAATGGTTGAATGTGAAGCTGATGATGTGCCCTGTAAACTTTCACTCAATCCAAAATAAAAACATTTAATTTAAAAAAAAAACAACTAGGTGCTCCATTCTCAAAAAAAAAAAAAAAGCTCATGAGTGGCCATCTAAGGTGCAGTGATTGTTCTCTCCCTGTTCAAAGGAAAGAAGAGTAATGGATATTGGAGACTCTTGGAAATAGTTAGTCTGGTGGACTATGTGAACATCAGTCTCCACAACCCTGAGACCAGAAGTACTAGGTGGTGCTGGGCTACCACTACCCAATGTCCTGAAAGGGATCATATTCAGTCTTGGGTACAGTGGAAGAAAATGTGGAACAAAACTTAAAATCATAAAACCAAGCATAAGGAGGGAACAAATCTTTACAATGAGATCATTCCCACCTCCTTGGTACACAGGGTCGACAAGGATGGGCAACTTAGACATTGGTTACCCAAAATAGGGAGGCTACAAAGGCAAGAAGTGACTGGCTTACAAGCTTTCAATAGGGAACCTAGTGCCAGACGGTGTTGGGGAAGGTAGAATCTCCACTGAGTGGTTTCCAGCCTGTCTGGACGGGGCTGATGAAAGGTGATGGGGATAAGACTTTTGTGGTTCAATAGGGAATGATTGCTATCAGGACTGACTGTGAGTGTTGGAAAGGTAAAGATAGATGTTTTGTAACAAAAGAAGGGGCGTGATTGATTTTGCAGTCCAGGAGTGGAGGTCCCTGGAACCATCAAGGGAGAAAAGCAAAGTGCAGGACCGTATCCAGAAAAACAGTGATGCCAGAGATGGAGGCAGAGACGAAGATGTAGAGAGATGGAGTGACTGGGGACTCTAGGCTCAGGGAGGGAGGGGGGCCATGTGCTGATGGCTGGCCTTGCGGGATGTACCCTTTAGTTGTTTGATGATGCATGCAGGGAATTGTAATCACTGCAATGAAATGAAATACGATGAGATGACTATAAAGATAATGTTCTCCCACGTAAACTATTAAACAATTCACAATAAAAACTTTAACAAAAACCAGTCATATTGGTCAGATAGAGACTGATGGAACCTGAAGAATATGGCCCTTAGTCACCTTTCAGGTCTGGAACTGAAGTCACCCATGTGGCTCCATTTTAAGCCAAGCAAACAACTAGTGAAGTATGCATATCATAGAATGGTCAACTGTTCGAGATCAAAAGGGCAGCATTTACCTGAGGACAAAATTCAGAAGGGTTAGGAAAGAAGGAGGAACCGCAATAAGAAACACAGGGACAAGTCAGATAAGTGATGTTACATTAAAGGAATTGCAGTCAAGATGAAGTCAATGACTTGTTGAATTAAAAGCTGATGATCTGCTCAGTAAACCTTCATTCAATTTACAATAAAAAGTTATATGTATAAAAAAGATAAAACATCACAGCAACACACAAGCCATCTCAGTATGACAAACTGATAGGCAAGTAGAGATTAGCCTTGATAGGAATCATCAGAAACATCATTGGATACTCCCTTGAAACTTTTATTGACGTAAGCACTGTAAAAACACATAAACAGAGAAAATTAAAACTCATGTTTTTAAACTTCACAAATGTCTAAGTACAGCAAGACCAGGGAAACAAAATTGAGAACACAGATACGCAGTTTCAATAAGTACACTTTGTAAGTGTAGACACCTTTAAGTACTTAGCTTTCTGAAGAGAAAGTGGTAAAATTGTCTTCCATTTACCAATCACATCCAAGAGACTTTGCTGTCACTCATCCTAACTTCTTCTTCTTGTTGTTATGTGCCATGGAGTCAGTTCTGAAACGTAGCGACCCTGTATAGGGTTTCCAAGGCTGTAAATCTCTATGGGAGCAGAAAGCCTCATCTTTCTCCCACAGAACAGCTGGTAGTTTTAAACTGCTGAGCGTGAGATTAGCAGCTCAATTCGTAACCACTGTGCTACCAGAGCATCCTAACTTAGGCCCATGTTTATTATTTTCAAAATCTAACTCTATTCCCATGACTCTCCCACCAAGTGGTATTTTCTAGTGGGAGCTGCTGGCTTTAGATAGCATAGTTTTCAGATTTGTTTATTTCTCTAACTACCTGTTGCTACAACTGCAAATTGCCTTAGTTAAGAGAATGTTCTTTTGTAGTTCAGGGCCACTTAACCTCTCTGAATCTCAGTTTTTCACATCTGAAAATCATCTTCCTCAAAAGTTGTAGATTTTCTGAGAAGATGGTTCAAATGCCTAGCAATAGTAAGCAGTGACTAAAGGCTGTTGTTGTTAACTGCCATCCAGTCTGTTCTGACTTGTAGCAAAGCCTGTGTAGGGTTTCCAAGGAACAGCTTGTGAGTTTGAACTGCCAACCTTGTGCTTCAAACCAACCTTTTGGTCCAGTGCTTTATCCCACAGTGCTGGTATTTATTACTATTTTCATTCTCTTTTTAATAAAAGAAATTTTCTGTTCTTCTAATAGGGAAATTTAGAGCCATTTCATTACATTATAAAAATGATTTGACAGATTATTTTAAGATTTTCATTTCACACTCCCACCTACTATTGACTTTTGTTGTTGTTGTTAAGTGCCGTCGAGTCACGTCAACTCATAGCAACCCTGTATAGGGTTTATGCCTGTTAAATTCAAAATCTAGTCTGTACAATGCCTTCATCCAGTTGTCCCTGAAAATTGTTTTCTTTGACTTTACAGCAAATGGCTACTGCAGAAGGACTGATGCAGAGGTCAGAAGGGAAGGAGAGACCATTTGTTCTTACACGTTCTTTTTTTGCGGGGTCACAAAAGTATGGTAAGGAATGGCTCCTATTGGTGGTGGTGGTTATGTGCCGTGGAGTTAGTTCTGACTCATAGCGATCCTGTACAGGGTTTCTGAGGCTGTAAATCTTTATAGGAGCAGAAAGTCTCATCTTTATTCTGTGGAACCGCTGGTAGTTTTGAACTGCTGACCTTGAGGTTAGCAGCCCGACTCGTAACCACTACTCTACCCAGAGCTCCTTATGGCTCATATTATCAGATTGAAAACACAAGTTAGCAAATTGGTTTTTTTGGTCCACTTACAGTATATATTTATATATATATACTATTTATAAATATATACTATTTATAGCTGCCTTCCCTTTTAGTAGCCATTGGGAATGCTTTAGAGTGCAGATAATAATGTGCCCTGAAGTTTGTATTTTGTCCTATGAGAGATTGGATCCATTTTAATAATGCTTCAGTTACATTATTGAATGTAACCGACCCACTGAAGAACAGGCCACTTAGTTGTTCTGAAAGTAAAATGGTTTGCTCAGCTGTCTCAAGATCAGTCATCTCTGATCCTGTTTCTTTGGTTTATCAAAACCAGAAAAAATATGCTTCTGACACATTCCTCCACCCATCTGTTCCATTTAGCAATATGGCTTAAAATAGACTTGGCTGTTGCTGGTGGTCAGGCTCATCTATAACTGGATCAGGTTTACTAGCTAATGCAGATCTAGTTCTACTTAACCTCCCTGTGGCAGAAGGCTATTTAAAGTTCACTGGTCTTACACAAATAGCTGGGAGCTTAGTGTTAGTTTGAAGAATGCAGCCTTTACTGTACCATAGACATTAGTGGGCAGCCTACACCACCTCTGAAACCCAGGCCTTGCGGTACCCTGGAAAAGGCCACAATATTGTCATTTCAAGTAAAGATTTGTGTACAGAAATGCTCCCCATAGCATTCGGTCTTGAAACAAAAGAAAGTCTAAATATTTAACAATAAGAGAATAGTTATAATAGGATGGTGGGTTTATATGATAGACTATCATGTAGTCTATCTATTGCAAATGGTAGCTTTAATTGCATGAGAAAATGTGACATCATGATACATTTTTTAAATGCCTAAATGTGTATAGACTACTCAAAATTTATAAATAATACATATATATGTAGAAAACAATCAAAATCAGTTAAGTGTGTAGATGGATTGTTATTGTTGTTGTTTTTAGGTGCTGTTGAGCCATTTCCTACCCGTAGTAACCCTGTGCACACAAAAGAAACACTGCCTGGTCCTGTGCCATGCTCACAATCATTGTTAGGCTTCACCTCATTGCTGTTGTCCCAATGCCAATAGGCAGAGACAAGAAAATATAAGAAGATATAGTACATTGGGGATTATGAATGATTTCCATTTTCTTTTTACCCATCTCAATTTTTCAAATTCTCAATAAATATAATTTTTGATCATTCAAAATATAATGGATTTTTAATAAAAATATTTACCAATTAAGAAAAGATGACAGAAGATACTAAATAACCTTGACTATTGGGCCACTGCCCAGTCTACAGTATTCTGTGGGAAGCTATTACTTTGCCCCATTATATAAGAAGCCAATACAGAGAACTCTCTATTGCTAAATCATTTACTGAAGCCAACAGCCAGAGAGAGAGTCTGATTGAATAGCTATGTGAGGCATGAATACAGTCGTATATCTACATGAGCTTTCTTTCCTGATAAGAATGTTGACATGTGGAATTCTAAACGTCAAGGAGAAATTATTAAATTACTGTTTTAAAAGAACAGTCCTTTAAAATGTTTCCTTTGCTGTCCATGAACTAGTCTGAAATTGCTATAAAAGATTAAAACAAAAATAGGTATCAAAACTATTCTGGTTGAAGGTCAACCAGAAATGCTACAAGTATATTAGTAAAAGAAGAATTTTTCCTTGTATGAATCTCTGTAATGGTATGTAATCTATTTTCACAAATTCTTAACAACTACACGAGTCAAAAAGATAGTTGCAAAATCATGGAAACCTTTATTAAACTAAAATATCAAATGATTGTTTCTCAACATCTGTTTCTTTCATCTAGGTCTATATATTTCTGAAGGCAGTGTATCCTCTCTCTAACCTTCCCCAAAGAATCCCGTGCTCTTTGATTTATACCTCATCAAAAAGGTTGTTTTGGCATCCTCAAGGGACTCAAGTCTTGTTCCTTTTAAATGTTCTTTGAGTTTGGGGAACAAAAAGAAGTCTAAAAAGACTAGATCAGGACTGTATGTTGGATGGGTTGAGGAATGAGTAGGTGCTTTGCTGTGATGGAAAAAATTCCTTGGTACAACTTTCCTGGCCTTTTTCTCACCAGTGCAGTTTTCAATATTATTAAAACTTCCTAATAAGCCCCCATGTTGGTGCTGCGTCTTTCACAAAAATCTATCAAGTTACCCCTTTGGAGTCAACAAAAACAATCACCATAATTTTCTGAGCGGACCTGTCTGCTTTGAATTTACGTATCCCACAGATCCCCTCGGAAGCCATTATTTTGATTGATGGCTCTGTACAATACGCACTAGACTGCGAACCACAAGATCTGGTTGAAGGTCAACCAGAAATGCTACAAGTATATTAGTTACAGGAGCTTTTTGAAGTCACGTTACAGGTGAAAGATAACGCTTTCTGAAACTAAGACAAGCATATTACTGAGAGAATTTGCTGCAGCCATCCTCCAATCACAGAAACATGTTTAAACATGTTTTGTTTGCATAAACCTGTATGTGTATGACCTGGAACTCTAGTACCAATGCATTTTTTTTTTCTTGCCCTCATACCACTATGAACAGGAACACTAATTCTGGAGTCCCATTAGTAGGGCTCAAATCCTAGCTCTATCATTTAATAACTATGTGACTCTGGGTAGGTTATACAAGGGGACTTCAAAATGCTCATGGAAAAATGGAATTGAAAGAGAATGGAATTTTTCCACAGATTCCCCCGCCATTATCCACTGTTTACCACATTCCCTAATCTGTCAGACAGAGTTAATGGTATTTACCTAATAAGATTGCCTTGATGGTTGAGTGCAATAATCCAAAGCAAGTAGTTAGCATAACACCTGGATAAGTAAAGACTCAGTAAATGTTAGCTTTTGTTATTGCTATTATTATATCTCCACTGTATGGACTGTAAGGAGCTCTGGTGGCATACTGTAGGATAAGTACTGGACTGCCAACTATAGGTTGGCAGTTCAAACCCACCAGCCACTCTGTGAAAAAAAGATGAGGCTTATGTTCCCGTTAAGATTTACAGCCTCAGAAACCCTACAGAGGAGCACAATGGGTCAGAACCAAGTTGACAGCCATGGGTGGGTATGTGGATTGCACCACTCCTTTCAAGAGGGTTGTTTTGTTTGGAGGGAGTGGATAGACATATAAGTCAATGGAACAAAACTGAGAATTCAGAGACACTCACCACATGTATATAATTTGCCAACAAAGTAGCCAAGACAATTAATGAAGAAAGGGTCGTTTTTTCAATAACTAGTACTAGAACAAATGGCTAGCCTTGTGGGGAAAAAAATGAACCTCAACACTTACTCCATACTATACAAAAAAATTAACTCAATATGGAGAATAGATCTAAATTTTCAGAACTAAAAAAAAAAATTAAATAGAAGACCTTTTTGGTTTTGAGATAAGTAAAGATTTCTTGGATAAGCAATACCTTAAAATTAATAAACAGCTAAGTGGAGCATTATCAAAATTAAAAACTTCTTTGAGAGATATTAAGTGAAAAGGCAAGCCACAGTCTGAAAAAAATGTTTGTAATAGATACATGTATCTGGACTTGGACTTGTATCCAGAATATATAAAGCAATTTCACAATTCAGTGAGAAGATAACCCACTTTAAAAAATAAACAATGGATTTTTAATAGATACTTTAGGAGATAATATTATCAATAGATACATGAAAAGATGCTCTACATAATTAGTCATTGTTGTTGTTGTAGTTGTTAAGCACCATAGATTCCTTTTCTACTCATAGTGACCCTGCATAAGGTTTCCAAGGAGTGACTGTTGAGTTTGACCCACCAACCTTGCTGTTCAAACCAACCTATTGCCTTCTCCTACAATGCCACACCAGGAGTCCACAAACCAAACCCATTACCATTGAGTAGCTTCTGACTCAGAGTGACTGATTGTTGTTGTTATGTGCCATCGAGTCAGTTCCAACTCATAACAACATTGTATAGGGTTTCTGAAAGAAGCTAGTAGGTTTGAACTGCTGACCTTGCAGTTAGCAGTCAACGGTTTAACCTACAGCACCACACCAGTACGCTAGTGACTCTGTGGTGGTGGTTGTGTGTTTTCGAGTCAGTTGCAACTCATAGTGACCCTGTATAGGATTTCCAAGGCTACAGGTCTTTACAGGAGCAGAAAGTCTCATATTTCTCCCTCAAAGTGGTGGATTAGCAGTCCAGTGTGGAACCTACTACACCACCAGAGCTCCTCACGGGACTCAACTGTACAGAGTAGAACTGCCCCACAGGGCTTCCAAGGCTGTAATCTGTTCAGAAGCCGACTACCACATCTTTCTACCCTGCAGCAGCTGCTAAGTTGAAACCACCAGTCTTTCTGTTGGTAGCTGAGCACCTAAGCCCTGTACTGCCTGGGCTCGTTTTACTAGTCAATAGGGAAATAACAAAATTAAGCCACAGAGAGCTACCACTGCACATCCATTAAATGGCTCCAATGAAAAGACTGACAGTAACAAGGATTGGCAAGGATGTAGAGCAACTGGAACTCTTATACATTGCTGTTCGGAATGTAAAACAGTACAACTACTTTGCTAAACAATTTGCAACTTTCTTAAAATATTCAATATACAACCTAGAAATTTTACTCTTTGATACTTACCCAAGAGAATTGAAAACATACAAGATAAGGATTTGTATACAAATGTTCATGGAAGTTTTATTTATAATAGAAAAACCTGGAAAGAATACAAATGTCCATCAGTTGGAGAATGAATAACCAATCTGTGATATGTTCATTTGAATAATACTCAACAAATAAAAAGAACTGAATTACAACATCCATGACTCTCAAAAACATTGTGCTGAGTAAAAAATTAAGAATACACAAAAGCCAGAACACAGGGGGAAAAGATTGTTTCCATTTATATAAAACTCTAGGGAAAAAAAAAACTAAAACTAAACTACAGAGATAGAAATCCAGTCACTGGTTGGATTGTTGTTAAGTGCCGTCAAGTCGGTTATGACCCACAGTGACCCTGTATAGGGTTTCCAAGAGCCGCTTGACCCACCAACCTTGCAGTTCCAACGGCTTTGCACCGTTAGCCCACAGCACCACACCAGGACTGGTTGGGTAGAAGGGGAATTATTGATGGCAAAGAAGCAGCACAAGGGAACTTTTGCAGTTAGGAAAATGGAATGTCCCATACTTTGGTTGTGGTAGTGGTTACATCAGTATACATGTTTCACAACAAACTCTTCAATTAATACACATATTGTTTATGTAAATTATGGCTCAATAAAGTTGATTAAAAAAAAAAATCATGTTGATGATGCATGGAGGGGATTGGAACCATGGCAGTGAGATGATATAAGATGGAATGAATGTAAAACTAAAGTTCTCCCATGTAAACTATCATATAATTCACAATAAAACATAAAAAAAAATTAAAAAAAAGCTAAAGTGGATAGAGAGAAATACTGTTAACTGATGGTACATGGAGGGGATTATAATCAATGTCATGAAACAAGGCATATGATTTGTTGAATGTAAAACTGATGATATGCCCTGTAAACTTTCTCTCAATTCTCAATAAAAACCTTAAAAAAAAATAAAAAAAAATCATGCTTCTAAAATCAGACTTGAGCTGTATACTTCAGAAAGTAAGTGTTTGTTTTGTGGATTTTTAATGTTTTTCACATTAGAAAATTAATTCATGTTTTTGTAGAAAGTCAGAGTTTATATTTTTTAAGAAATAAGTATTTTCCCTTAGATTACTTATTACAAATAATCAAAATCTGAAATTGAGCACGTGGACTAATACGCAATTTCTTTAAATATTTTGTTACTGGTATCCAAAGGTGCCGTGTGGACAGGTGACAACAAGTCAGACTGGATTTACCTGAAAATCTCCATCCCAATGTTACTCACCCTCAGCATTACTGGGATCTGTTTTTGTGGAGGTAAGATGAATTCTGCCCTGAAAAAAATTAAAAACCAGAGTTCTTTCAGGAAGCTGGTCACATATCCCTTCTCATAGCACCTTCGGACCAGGGCTTCAAACTGGTTTCAAAATGGTTCATGATAGCCACCAAATCTGTTGCCTGTGGCATTTTGACCTGGGTAGGGTTCCTGGTGTGACACTGTAGTATCAGCACTGGACTGCTAACTGCAAGATTGGCAGTTCAGACCCACCATCTGTTCTCCAAAACCCTATACAGGATCGCTCTAAGTTGGTACCAACTAGACAGCACTTAACAACAACAGGAAACCTGAGAGCTGTTTGTATCTTGTCTGAATTGAGGATATAAAATAAAGGTGTCAGAAAAGGAGTCAGAGAGCTTCTTGTCCTCATTTTCGTGTCACTTCCTCCTTAGGCACTCTTGATTGTGGAGTCTATCTTCCTGAAACATATTCTTCCTTGAAAGTGAGAAAATGGAAAGGACTGCACAAATAATTTAGCAAATCAGAAGTCAGCCTTACAGAAATCCCATCTTATCAGCAGGGTTCAAATTCTGGAACATAGTTTAATTGTGTAAATACATATATCTTTCATGGGAAAGATAAAATTTGGACTGCCTTCCCTGCATCCTAGTAACTGGAGATAACAGAGCTTGATATAGAAAATGCTTAGCATGACTGCAGTTGCAGCTGCTCCTTATTTTCTATAGGAACAGAAGCTATTTAGTATCACTTTTTGATTCCTGTGTTTTATGGCCTAGGTCCACATTCAGTACACATACTGCTCAAGGTTCAGCATGAAATTCTACCTAACCATCTAATTTTAATGTTCAGTTTCTTTTTAGTTCTTTCTATATAATTTTTATCTTGATTCACCTATTACTTTCAAAGAAAATCATGAGTTCGTTCTTAACCGTACCCCACCATCACACGTGCACACACTGTTTAATATGACACATTGCAATTTCTGTCACTATGTTAGTGCTGGAACTTAACAGGAATATTGATCTTGCTGTAGCCAGCGCCTCTGACCTTTTAACAAAAGACTATCCAAAGAGCATATTGCCAGAACATACTTAGTTTATTAGCATGTATTTGCCTCGTTGACAACGCTCTGCTGCTGTTCATAAGGTTTCATTGGCCAGTTTTTTCAGAAGTAAACTACCAAGTCCTTTCTCCTAGTCTGTTTTAGTCTGGAAGCATCACTAAACCTGCCCACCGTGGATGACCTTTGTGGTATTTGATATAATAGTGGCATGAATGGTGGTCAACAGTTTTATCAAATTCATTTGAAGGCACATACAGTGCCTTTTTTTCTGTCTTTCTTCAAAGACCTTACCTTGCCTGTGTGCACATTTAAAAGCCTCGTAACCCACTTGGACTTTCTTTGACTATCCAGCTGATGTAGGTGGGTTCATCGGGAATCCAAAGGCAGAGCTGCTAGTGCGTTGGTACCAGGCAGGAGCCTACCAGCCTTTCTTCCGAGGCCATGCCACCATGAAAACTAAGCGGCGGGAACCCTGGCTCTTCGGGGAGGAACACACCCAGCTGATCCGAGAAGCCATCAGAGAGCGCTATGCCCTTCTGCCCTATTGGTATACTCTGTTCTACCATGCACACGTGACTGCTGAACCCATCATGAGGTAAAAAAGCTTCATTCAACCAGGGACCCAGCCACTAGTCTAGAAGGGAAGATCACCTCAGTTGTTGAGGAGCAGATGATTACATAGTGATTTCAAAAGAAAATAGAGAAAAGCCTGTGATTAATCGAGTTTCAGTCAGTTTATTGAGCACCACGAGCAGGGTGTGCTGACTGTAGAGGACACAAAAAAACACAAAAACTAGGCCTCTGCTACATGTATAAAGTGTTAATACGTGATAGAAATAGAGAAAAAGAAAAAGGAAGTGGCTCTGTAACTGAATTTGCAAGGATTGTCTCTTAAAGAATATATCTTACCCTCCCAGCTCAATTCTTCCAAGTTTGTTATTGTTGTCAGGTGCCATCGAGTCGGAACCGACTCATAGCGACCCCATGCACAGCAGAACAAAACAATGTCCGATCCTGGGCCAACCTCACTACC